AAGGGCGTTCAGTGTGGGCGACAGAGCACAGGCGCACGCCATATCGTCCTTCTTCCCGGTGACCTGACTTGGGGGACAGTCAAAATATTGAACAGCTGGCTTGGTGGGACACTGACATGCTGGGCCCGCCCCACTCTGCCAGCTGTTACCCCTTAGTGCTGGGTGGTGAGAGGGTCCGGAAGGTACCAGGGAGGGGCAGGGGCGGAGCTCAGCCCAGAAGCTCTTTTCCCGAAAGGTAGCATCCCGGTGTAGCCTCAGACCACAGATGCCGCCCGGCGCCAGCCCTGCCTGGCTCCTCTCATCTGTGCCCTGTGCTGTCGCCTCCCCCTGCGGTAGACACCCTCCTGTCCTCCAAACTCCCCCTCCCAGGAAGACGCCCAGGTGAAGGGGGTGGCGAGGGGGCCTCCCTGAGACACGCTTCCTCCCCACAGGCAACTCCAACCTGGTCTACGCCATCATCCGAAAGCGCAGCGTCTTCCACCAGCTGGCCAACCTGCCCACTGACCCGCCCACCATCCACAAGGCGCTGCAGCGGCGCCGCCGGGCTCCCGAGGCCTTGTCCCGCACCAGCTCACAGGAGGGCGTGTCTATGGAGGGCTCCCACCCCGCTGCCCCCGCCGAGCCGGGCACCCTCAAGGCCAGCCTGGTGGCCACCCCAGGTCCGGTGCTGGCGAGGGGCAGGGTGCTGTGCAGTGGCGACAAGGGTGGGGGTGGAGGTACGGGGGCCCGGGCGGGGCAGCTTGGTGGGGGGACTGGGCCTTGGGGCTGAGCGCTGGGGGGTCTGGCACAGCATCTGTGAAGTGGGGGGAAGTTGGAGACTTTCGGGGCTGGCCCCAGGCAGAGGCTTTCTAGGAGGAGCACTGTGGCAGGAGTCCTCACGGCTCCCCACCCCACCGCCCAGGCATCGAGAAGCTGACGGAGAAGTCCCAGGTGTCAGAGGATGGTACCTTGCGATCCCTGGAGCCTGCACCCCAGCAGAACTCGGCAGAGTGCAGCCCAGCCTCGGAGGTCGGTGCGGGGACTCCTGGCGGGGCTGGGTGGCGAGGCTGGGCTTCCCCTTTCTCCCTGGCCTCCAAGGTGTAGGCCGGGCCGGAGCACTGTGCAGCAGAGGGGCAGGTACCCAGTGCCCAGGGCGTCAGGCTTGGCACTGATGACTCTCTGGGGATGGGGGGCCTTTCACAGACCCCTCCCTTGTTTATTGGTCACGGGCTCAATCCCTTGGCCTTGAGACTCCTCACCCGTCAGCCTTATCTAGGCTGGGCTGGCCTTTACCCGGTCTGCTCAGTCAGCTCCTGGCCCTAAACCTGTCACTGGGCTGGGCAGGGTCAGGCAGGGCCTGGGGCCCAGGGCAAAGGTGCTGGGCTGGGCTATCCCCTGCTTTGGGAGTGAGCCCCCTCCCTGCAACATGGGCCAATGGGGAGACCTCATTGCCCTCCCCACCCCCCTGCACCCTCTCCCCACATCCCTCTCTCTTATTCCTTCCCCGGGACCAGGAGCCCAGCCAGGCGTGGCGGGAGCAGCGGCGACTGTCCAGCGCATCAGCCGGTGGGCAGTGGAGCCCGACGTCGGAGTGGGTGAGGGTGGGACAGATGGTACAAGGTGCGGGGGTGGGTCCGGGGCTCCTGGCCCTGGGAACAGCTCAGGAGAGGCTTGGATGGGAATGGGTCCAAATCCAAGCGCTGGCCCGGGTCAGGTTAGGGGTCAGTCCTGTCTCATGACCTTGGCTTCTCTGGCTTCCTCTGTCTACACTGTCCCAGAGTTTGTTCCCCAGCAGGGTTAAGCTTCAGTTGTCCACAGCCCTTTCTTAGTAAATCACCCTTTCCAACTTCCTTCCCCAAATCACTTGCCCACTCCCTTACGTGATTCCTGAGATCACCACTAATTGCATTTGCACGGGGATAATAAAGGTCCCTACTTCATCGTGCCGTTGTGAGGATCAAAGGGGATACTTTCTGGCACACAGGACCTGCTCAGGGAGAGCCCCGGCTCCTCCCATGAAGAGCAGTCACTGTGCACGGGCACTGCCCTGTGCCAGGCCCTTGCTGTGATGAGCGGGGATGCCTTCTGCCTTGGGGAGTCCATGGTTTCAGGTCAGGGGTCAAGCCTATGCCACAGCCCCTGGGGGCTGTCTTGCCAGCCCAAGAACCCCAGTCCCTCCCCCAGGTCCTCTCCTGGAAGTCGAAGCTGCCGCTGCAAACCATCATGAGACTGCTGCAGGTGCTGGTTCCCCAGGTGGAGAAGATCTGCATTGACAAGTGAGGCTGGGGACGGGGCTGGGCGGGCTGGGCTCTGAGGGGCCAGCCCAGGCTGCGCTGGGGGTGTGGCCGGGAGCACGGGCCTCGGGGGTCCAGGATGAGCCCTCTGCTCCCCTTGACCTTCAGAGTGGGCACATTGGAGACCCTCCTCTCCCTGGCAGGGGCCTGACGGACGAGTCAGAGATCCTGCGGTTCCTGCAACATGGCACCCTGGTGGGGCTGCTGCCCGTGCCCCACCCCATCCTCATCCGCAAGTACCAGGCCAACTCGGGCACGGCCATGTGGTTCCGCACCTACATGTGGGGCGTCATCTATCTGAGGTGGGCCCCTTGGGGGTGGGGCCGTTACCGGCCTGGCTGGGTCTGGCATCCACCCGAGGGTCAGCTCAGTGGGGCTGTGCCCCACTAGGGTAGTGGGGTTCATGTCAAAACAGTCAGCCAGGGTGGTCTTGTCTGGTGGAGGGTGGGCACCCACTTCCCCAGGGGCAGGGGGCAGAGAACATCAGGGTGGGAGGACGACAGCCTCGTTCCTCCCCAGTCTTTCCTGCAAGGCCTCCCGGCACCTGGGTGACGGCCCACTCCCTCTGCAGGAACGTGGACCCACCTGTCTGGTACGACACAGATGTGAAGCTGTTTGAGATTCAGCGGGTGTGAAGATGGAAGCCTGCAAGGGGCAGGGACCAGGGGAAGGCGGGGACCCTGGTCCCCCGATGTTCCCCCCGACCCACCATTCTGAGCTTTAAATTACTACGGTCAGGGCTGGGGGCTTGAGTGGCTGAGTCCTGAGTGGCAGAGCCAGGAGGCCCCTTGTGGCTGGGATGGTGGGGGGCCCCCCTGCCTCCAGGCTGGATTGAGAGGAACTTTCTGTCTCCAGGGCTGCAGCCCTCCACCAGGGGCCCGCCTCACTCTGGCTCCCCTTCGGGACCCGTTTCTGTGCTGACCCTCAGTGCCCGCCTGGCTCCTGAGCTGCCCAGCCCTCTGCCCTAGTGGGCTGCCCAAGAGGGAGTCTTGGGCGGCCCCTTGAGGCACCTGGGCAGGGGAAGGGGAGCCTTTCCAATCCTCCTCACCTGAAACCACCTGGTCCAGGCCCGGCTCGCTGCCAGGACCCCGGGAAGAAGGAGGGTGACCAGGCTGCTTGTGGAGGAGGCTGGGGGCTGACAGGCATCGAAAGCCAGACGAGGGGACCTCGCGCATTTTAGGGATTTGGAGTGGGGTGTTGAGGGTCTCCTGCTATATTCTTCTGGGTCAGTGAATATAGCCTGGCTGGCTCTTGTACAGTAATGGGGGCGAGGGAATGGGGGCAGAGGACAGCTGATCAGTCCTCCCTGCCCCTGCCCACCACCTGATGACTTGCAGGGAGGGGGACCAGGATACCAACGCCCCATCCTCCTGATTCCGGCTTCTTGGTCTCCCTCACCCCACCTGTGTCCATACAATCTTTGCTCTGTACAATCGGCCTCTTTACACAATAAAACCCCCTCTCCATGCCCTGCGTCTTTGTGCTTGGAGGGGAGGGGGTCAGGCCATGGCTCTTGTTTTCAGGGAAGCTGGGGACTCTGCCTCCCAGAATCAGGCCCCAGAGGGCCCTCGGTGCGCACCTGGGAACCAGCGTTTGTCACTTTCTTGGGTGGGGAAGTGGAGGGTTGGACGCCCCAGGCTGTGGCCCCCCCGACAGAAAGAGCCCACACAGGAGAGGCAAGGGGCCTGCCTCCCAGCCTCCTGCACGGCCCCCAGGCAGCCAGTGAGACAGCGCTGGGGGTCCAGCACCCAGCTGCAAGGGGTACAAGCCTGGCCTGCAGGGTCCGGGGCCGCCGTCCCTGCGCCTCACCCTGCGCCTCACCCTGGGCCTCACCCTGGGCACGGTTCACTGTTTGCGCTGGGCTCAGGGAGATGGATGGGCTGTCAGTGCCTGCCCTCCCCACCCGATGGCTCAGAGGATCGGCAGGCCTGGGGTGAGCGGCTACAGAAAGTCACCGGGGGCTCCGTCCTCGGGAGAAGGTGTGCTGGCGAGGGGTGGGGGGATGCGAGAGCCCCGGCTCCTCTCTTCCCACCTCCTTCCGTGCATCAGACAGGGGGAGGACCAGACAAAGTGTTGAGACCCCTCGTGGCCCAGAAATAGGACTGTCCCAGCCCTACAGCCCCGCCCAGGAGGACTGTCCCTTCCCACCATGTACACAGAGTGTCCTCTCTGTCCCCGGGAGCAAATGCCACGAAGCCCGAATCGATCAAACAAACAGGGTTTATGTCAGCGGGAGAGAGCTGTTGACCCCTGCCTAGCAGCTAATTAACCAGCTCATTAGGAGACAGGGTGTGTGGGGAGAGAAGGGCAGGGCTGCCTGCCCAGCTGCAAGCTTCCAGATGTCCTGGGCTGAGCTTGGACCATGCAGGAGGCAGACCCCCAAGGCCTGGCCGGGTAGGGGTGCCCCTCCCCAAACTCCCCGGAATCATTTAGGGCTGACCGTCCCCGAGAGTAGCTGTGTGGGCTTCCCGGGGCTGCGCTGATTGTGGTGGCGAGCAGGGGGCAGGTGTGTGCTCAGTCCTGGGTGTGGGCCTTAACAGTTCAGTGTCCAGGTCCTGCCCTTGGCCTTGGGCTGCCGTGACCGCCCACCCCAGTGAGGATCTGGGGAAGAGGAGGCTTTGGGGAATCCAGGCTGGTCTAGGTCCCCCTGGAATGGGGCATCTGGGTTACGTTCTCCCCAGCCTTGGCACTTCGGGGGTGTGCAGGGGGTGGGTTTCTTGGGCGCTCTCAGGCCCCCAAGTAGACCTCCACCAGCACCCCGACGGAGTGCATACGGTAGAAGACGCCCAGAGGCAGGCCGAAGTTGACGATGGTGAACCATGTCCGGTAGCCATAGAAATCCTTTTCCAGCCCGTTCTCGAACTCGGGGTGTATGCCGAAAGCAGGCATCATCCACAGCTGGGGAGGAGAGGGCGTTGTTGAGTGGGGGAGGGGCTCTCCCATCCCCCAAGGCCCTCAGCTCATGGGAGGCCCCAGAACCTGCAGCTCCTGCAGCATACCCCCCACCCTAGCATCCCCTCACCCTTAGGCTTTCAGAACCAGCCCCTCTCCCCCTATATCCCCCTCACCCCATCCCACAGAAGGCCTCAGCCCCCTCCTTGGCCTGCCTGGGGCCAGCCTAAACTCCAGCTGGATCCTGAGACCCCAGGCTGCCACCACCACGGTACAACCTGCTCCACCTGGGCTCCCCTGGGCCCTCATTTCCATCACCTTTTTCTGCTCTGGGTTCATTCTTCCGCTGTCATGACTCTCTGCCCGCTCCACCCCGACCCTGCCTCCTGTCCAAATTCTGCCCGTTTCTCAAGGCCCAGATCAAACTTTCACAAAGTCTTCCTTGGCCACCTGGGCCCACACTTCCTTCTCTGAGCTCCGACCACACTTTGGGGCCAATTTATTACTTATGCTCTGTCTGGACCAGAGGTTTCACCCTCTGAGGTGTTTCCAGCACAGCTATTACCATCATGGGCTAAAACCACCTGGAGTTGTCCCGGGACTGCCACTTGCAGGCTTGTGGGAACACGGCAGGTCAAACATAAGGCTCAGTTTGCTCATCTGTTAAATAGGGACAGTAATAGTGCCTGTTGCATGGAGTGAGTGTGATGATTCAGAGAGATGCACGGGAAGGTGGACTTGGAACTTAGTGGCCGCCGGGCACCGAGCAGTCATGGTCAATACCTCCCCCTAGAGATGCTTTAGAAAAGCAGGCACCTTCTGATCTCTTCCTTTGACTCAAGTCAGCGGACCATTAATGATTTGGTAATTCTCTAACTGGGCCCCCTGTGTCTCCTCAGCTAAGCTCCCCGAGGGTAGAAATCCTCTATGTATGTTTGTAAATAGCACTTAGCTACATGCTTGGCACATTCATTCATGCCAGGCACCTTGCAGGGAGCTGGGGGACACTCCCTACTCTCAGGCAGCATCAAGCCAGTTGGAAAGGGGCCTGTGTCCTTGACAATCAAAGGGACAAGCCAGTCGCCCTCGGGACAGTCAATGCACAATCCCTTGATCCATCCCTTCCTGAGTGAGGATTTCTGGGGCCTCCTTGCCAGCTCCACTCCCATGCCTCCCAGCCCCGCCACTCACTGTGATGTTGCAGAGGATGAGGAAGAGTGAGATCTCCTTGAGGGCCCGCCGCTTCCAGTTGAGGTGGCTGTAGGAGTGGATGTAGGCCAGCGAGGCCTGCCGCAGGTCCTGGCCCAGCTCCAGCAGGGAGCCCCTGCGGGGAGGCTCGGCCTCCCACTTCCCCGCCAGGCTCTCGGGAGCTGCCTCCCAGAGTGGGCGCCGGTGCAGGCCCTCGATGATGAAGAGGTTCTGGGCTATGTGCTGCAGGATGAGAAGCAGCGAATAGGCCAGGATGAGGTGGTTGAGTAGCTCGTGGGGGCGAGTGGCCACGATGGCCACGATAGAGAAGTAGGAGATGCCCATCTGGCCCAGCGCCGCGCCCATCAGCAGCACCACGTCCAGGCTGCGGGTGGGGTTCTTGAGCGTGTCTAGCTCTCGCTCCTCCAGCCCATGGATGGCCATGCCCGCCAGGCACGCCAGGCTCATAGTGGGCAGCGCGGCTGCATGGAAGCCGTAGTAGATGGTGAAGTACTGGCGCGCGATGGCAGGGCCACTTGCTTGGATCTGGAAGAGCACGAAGACGCACGTGCCTGCCACCAGGACCAGCAGGCCCAGCACCGGCCCTAAGATGGCCCCGTGCAGGTGGAAGGGCGGGGTGCCGGGGTGGGAGCCCGTGTGGGGTGTCAGGCGGCGGCCCACGTTCTTCCACATGACGAAGAGCATGCCACAGCAGATGAGGGAGTACTCGGTGCTGAAGGGGTAGAGCATCAGGTAGCCCTTCTGGAAGACCTCACACGCGGTGACGTTGAGGCACAGACAGGTGTTGGTGTTGTTGCCTGGGAGGGGGCAGGGCAGGAGGGGACGTTCAGGTGGGCCTTGCTCTGAGGAAACCAGATGCACAAATCAACCTGTTCACCTCCTGGGTTATGGCAGAGGTGGAAGGGACCCAGCCACCCATTTTACAGATGTGGAAACTGAGGCCAACAGAGAGAAGTCAGAAATCACAGGATGGTCCTTCTTTTTTTTTTTTCTTTTGTGGGACCTTAGTTCCCTGACCGGGGATCGAATCCGTGCCCCCTGCAGGGGAAGCGTGGCGTCTTAACCACTGGACCACCAGGGAAGTCCCCAGGATGGTCATTCCTTGACAAAGGGATTCTAGACCTCAAGTGCCAAGCTTAGGTAAAGCATCTGACACATGATGTCTTTGGCGCCAAATGTCACCTCTACAGATTACTTGCTGAGCACAGGGGGAAGCCTGTAACCTTATACTGGGAGGATCTGGCTGACACACCACGACCATCGGCAGCGTCCACTGTGGGGCAGACGTCTTGCCTTGTGATGAGGCGCACAGTATCCCCTGTGGAATGTTGGTGTCCAAAATGCTCAACCCAAATCTAATCAACACTTTGGTCCATACTTCCTGTTTCTAGGAAAAGCAGGGGATTTGGGAACAAGTCAAATGCCACCACGAGGAAGCAACCTGACAGATCTCAAATCTCAGTGTCATTAGGGGAAAAGAGACTGAACTGAGCCACCAAATGTACTGCACGTTTGAACAAACCATCTTTAAAAGACATTTCATGGGCTGATGGGAGAAAGTCGAACATAGATTGATACAGAGGATGGGGATGAAGTTAAGGTATTTTGTTAGAAATTACAATGGCATGTGTGCTAATGTAGGGAACGATATGATCTTAAAGACGTGCATACTGAAATATTCTGAGATGAAATGCCAGTATTTCTGCAACGTAAGTAATTCAGCAAAAATACTGGAATGAATATGGCAAAATGTTAATAATTATTACATCTAATAATGTAATATTATTAGATATTAATATTAGATATTAATAAATATTAATGTGATGGGTATGTCCTGTTCTTCTACTCATCTGTATGCTTGACTTGTTTAATAATAAACAATCCATGATGTCACTTGCTGAAAATTCTCTTTGCACAGGTCTTCTGAAAAATGGATCTGGAGCATAAAGAATGCCCACGGTATACAGGCATGCTGAGATTTACGCAATGGAGGTGTGAATGCATGAGTCTGCTGGGAAGGCTTGGCTGTACACAGGTCAGGATGGTGATGCCACCCGGGGCGGGGGGAGGTGTACACATACAGGTGTGGCTGAATCCCACAGACGGAAATGTTCCCATGTAGGTTTAGGGGACATGGCCTCTAAGGGCAGACTGACAGGTAGGGCACTGGGTACATGGAACAGTCCAGGGAGTTCTTTCTGCCCAGAAACCTTCTGTTCTTCCTTATATGTCCAGGTACCTACAACTGTGTTAGGAAGACATTCCTTTCAGTCTTGAAGGCTTTTTAGTTTCTTGCAAGTAAAATGCAAATACCAGGGGTAGAGTGCATACCTGGGCTTATCAGTGAATAGCTCAGCCAGGATTAGTGGTTAGCTTACTGATAGCTAGACGGATGCCTGGAGCGGGCTTGCAGAGTGCCAGCACCTGATGGGGCAGGCCCAGAATGGGGGCAGGATGGGTACCATTGGCAAATGTCAGTTTCCGTTTAGTCGTGATCTGGTCTCTAGAGCTTTCTCCCAACTCTGCAGAGTCATTGAGCCTCACCTGTTGGAGGGAGTGTAGCGTGCACGCATGTGTGTGTGTGTGTGTGTGTGTGTACATTCAGCGATTGGGGGGCAGTCATGGTCTCCTCTGTACCTGAGAACTTTTCCATGAGGGCGCTGAGCTCGGTCTCGATCTCATGGTGCATGGAGTCGTTGGTGACGGCCAGAAGCCACAGCAGCAGATTCGTGGCCAGCGTCAGCATCAAGCCACACCTGGAGGAGGTGCTATACTCTGCCACACAGCCTAGCCGGCTTCCCGGGTGCCCCACGTTCACCATCACTGCCTTTGGGGTGACCACTCTCTCCCAAAGCCAGATGCCATCTGCCATTAGAACTTCAGGAGGGGCAGCCCTCGGGGCCACCTGGGACCCATTCCCAGACTAACCGATAGCCCCAGGGCCACCCTGTCCAGGGAAGCTGTTGGGGGGCCAGCATGAGTGGGGGACAGGGGTATCCCAGGAGTTGTTGGAAGGAGAGAAGATGCCCGCATCTTACCTAGTGAAGTTGGTCTGGATCTGAACGCAGTCCTTAGAGTGCTTCCAGAGCACCCAGGTCTGAAAGAGAAAGGGCCTTAAGCCCAGGGGCTAGGGGTGGGGCGAAGGTTGGTGGTGGGACTATGGGGCATGTGTTCCAGTTGCACGTGTGTATTTACAATGGAAGGGACAGTGAGGAAGCCTGGGTTGGATTTGTGGCTCCAGGGTTTCCTTGCTGTGTGGTCTTGGGCCAGTGGAAAAACATCTCCGAGCCTTAGTCTCCTTGGCTCTAAAATAGGACTAAAATGTCCATCAGGGGAATGCCTACTTATTGGGGCAATAAAAAGGATGATGCAAACAAAACACAGAGCACAATGCCTACAGATCAGGAACTCAGGAGGGACTTGGAGATTCATGAAGAGTAGCTCTGGGGACTTCCCTGGTGGCATTAAGAATCCACCTGCCAATGCAGGGGACACGGGTTTGAGCCCTGATCCAGGAAGATCCCACATGCTGCAGAGCAACTAAGCTCGTGCACCACAACTACTGAGCCTGTGCTCTAGAGCCTGCGAGCCGCAACTACTGAGCCCGTGTGCCACAACTCCTGAAGCCCGCGCCCCTAGAGCTTGTGCTCCGCAACAAGAGAAGCCACCGCAATGAGAAGCCCGCACACCGCAACAAAGAGCAGCCCCCGCTCACCGCAACTAGAGAAAGCCTGCGCGCAGCAACGAAGACCCAATGCAGCCCAAAATAAATAAATTAATTAATTAATAAATAAATTAAAAAACCTTCTTTAAAAAAAAAAAAAGTAGCTCTGTAGGGCTTCCCTGGTGGTCCAGTGATTAAGACTCCATGCTTCCAATACAGGGGGCCCCTTGGTCGGGGAACTAAGATCCCACATGCCGCTCGACCAAAAATATAAATAAATTGTATTAAAAAAAAAAAAAAAGAGTAGCACAGTATATCCGGGGGTGTAGATTTAGGTACACACAGGTACGTACAGGCAAATGTACCTATAGGTGCCTGCGTTTCAGTGGCGCAGTGTGTGTGTGATGCTGACACATGTAGGTAGCATGGGTGTGGGCACACAGAGGCACGTGGAGGGGCGCTGTGGTGCGTGTGTACAGACTCTGGGCCGTGTGGGTATTTGCTGACGTGCCTGTTTCTAGGCATAGGCCGGGGCGCGTACGCACGCGGCGAGGGGGTGCGAGAGGCGGGTCACCTGGATGCCGATGAAGATGATCTCGACGGCCGGGAAGATGAGCTCCAGCTGTGACTTACAGCGGATGTGGCTCATGCCGTAGCCCACGCGGAAGACGTTGAGGCAGATGGCGCAGCTACCAAAGAGCACCAGGGAGCCTGGCCGGGCCAGGGGGCCGTTGGCACCTCCCCTGGAAAGAGCCCTCCCTCCCCACCCCTCTGCATCCACCCAGGCGCCCCGACACTCACCGCGCACCCAAGCGGGTCCTGCGTGCGGGTCCCGGTGGAGCACGGCTTGCGGCCGGCGGGTGGTCCTGGCGGTGTAGTAGAGAAGCCAAAGAAGGGCCAGGGCCTTCAGCGTCGCCAGCAGGATCCACACATCCCCCAGCGTGATGGCCACGTTGTTGAAGATCATGCTGCAGATGAAGGCTCCGCCCAGGAACACCATGTTGAGGGCCAGGAGCCCCGAGAAGAGCTGCCCGGCCTTCTGGGCCTGCCGGTCCCGGCGCAGCAGCAGTGAGAAGTGCCGCACCAGCCAGGACCTGCTGAGGGGCGAGGCGGGGGCCCTTGTCTGCTCGGCCCCCGTGGCCGCGTGGTTCTCCTTGGCCGGGGTCTCTCCAGTCTCCTGTGCTTCTGGAGAGGCCATGGGTGGAGCCTCAGTAGGGGCTGGGGAGGGAGACAGGGTTCCGGTTGGCTGCCAAGCCGTCCTGGGCTCAATTCCGCTTCTGCCTCTAAGCGCTGTGGGACCTAGGCAAGCTAAGCAACCTCTCTGGTCAGGACGTTGGAAATAAAAGCAGCTGCCCCATCTGCCTTACGGGACCCGAGAAGATTCAAACAGACCCGGGGATATGGAAGCCCTTTGTGCTCCACATAAACATAGGGTTTATTTCGACTGGCTTGAGGACCGCCTTCCCCCCACCCCTACCCTCCTGCATCAGTGCTTGATCTTAAGGTGGAATAATGATGTCTGTCAAGGCAGCCAGGGGTATCTGCACAGTGCTTGGCCACTGGGCAGTTTCCAGGGCTGTGACGTTTCACCACCAAAACGCAGTTTGTGCCCTCTGTCTTCTGGAAGGAAATTCACTCCTCAAGTCAGGGAGAGCAAGTAGGTGTCCTCTCTTGTTCCGACTCTGATTAGTTGGGCAATGGTTGCCTAGAGTGTTGGGTTGAGAAGGATCCTGAGGCTGAGCGTGGGCTTGGTGGGAAAGAATGGTGTGATCTGAGATAATACTCTATTTTGCGTACATATGAGTGTATATAAAATTACTTTTTAAAGAAGTCTTTTTATTGAACTTGTTACAATATTGCTTCTGTTTTATGTTTTTTGATTTTTGACTGCGGGGCATGTGGGCTCTTAGCTCCCTGACCAGGGATCGAACCCACACCCCCTGCATTGGGGGGCAAAGTCTTAAGCACTGGACTGCCAGGGAAGTCCCTAAAATTACTTTTAAAAGATCTAGAAGACACCCATCAAGTTCACAACAGGAGTTTCTTCTGGGGAAAGGTGGAGGGCACTAGAATTGGGAGAAGTTTAATGTTCTAGTTTTTTTTTTCTTAAAAAAAAAAAAACATTACTGGGACTTCCCTGGTGGTGCAGTGGTTAAGAATCCGCCTGCCAATGCAGGGGACATGGGTTCGAGCCCTGGCCCAGGAAGATCCCACATGCCACAGAGCAACTAAGCCTGTGCACCACAACTGCTGAGCCTACGCTCTAGAGCCTGCGAGCCACAACTACTGAGCCCACATGCCACAACTACTGAAGCCCGCGTGCCTAGAGCCCGTGCTCCTCAACAAGAGAAGCCACCGCAATGAGAAGCCCGCGCACCGCAACAAAGAGTAGCCCCCGCTCGCCACAACTAGAGAAAGCCCACGTGCAGCAATGAAGACCCAACTCAGCC